ATGATTGAATACACTTGAATAGTTTTGAATTAAACCTTTGTTTTTGTAAAACAATGTACTCTAGTATACTAGTATCGTGAATTAATGTTCTATGTATCATAAATTATACCTATTATAATTTATATGTACTTTCTGATTTGATAACGAGTATTCATGTATGGGATCCTTTGCTCAACATGTACAGAAGGTAATTGAATCTAATTGAATAAACTTTTATACTTGTATACATATACAATTATATATAACTAAAATTTAAATGACACTTGGACAAACAACAGACACTTGTAATCCCACATCCAAACAAGGAAAAGGAACCGAAGTGTGTTGTCAGTCCTAAGTCTTTTAAACCTTATTTATATAAATATATGTATACTAGTATGATTTTTGGGGAAAAATATAAGTTTATAAAACATTTAAAAGAAGTTTCATATTTGGAAATCCATTTTTTGGTGACTTGATGTCTTTTTGAAATAACCACTTAAAACCACTTGATTTGATAAGATGTTTGAAACCATTTGTTTTGGATAATTGTATTTCATTTGAAATCATTTGTTATAACACAATATCTTTTTGTTAGACTTGTATTCCCCCCCCCCCCTTAAAACAGTAAAAACTATGAAAATGTGGGGGTATGAACTCCCCTGTTGTAAATTACTCAAATGTAAGATTGGTGTAGGATGCTAAGTGTCAAGTGAAGACTTGAGCACACACTGATCCTATTGAACATATAATGACACATATATGTTTATAATTAGTGTTTAAACAACTAATTATGTAAGTAAAGACACCTTAGGACATGGAAAACACTTTGACTCAAGTACTAGAAGTACAAAGGGTTGCACCTAAGGGTTGTAGGGCCTCACATTGGAGTTTACTTCCCATGGGTTTACGGCCCAATGGGTTTACTACCCATGGGTTTACGGCCCAATGGGTTTACGGCCGTAAACTCATGTCATCTGGTACCATTTTGTGTGTTTAAGGTCCTATACTCATCTTGGGGGTGTTCTAGACTTAGTTTCAAGGCTTAGGAAGGTGTTTGTGGCAACTTTGCACCAATAAGTAGAGTTTACGGCCAAGGGAGATTTCCTTGGCCGTAAACACCCTTTTGTCCATGATTTCTTGATGTTTTCAAGTAGTATAACTAGTATGTATTGCACAAAGGAAGGTACTCAAGGGTTTAGAAGCCTTTAGGAGTGTTTAAGGTCAACATATGCTCCTTTAAAATGGGTTTACGGCCAAGGGAGATTTCATTGGCCGTAAACTCCCTTTGTTCTTGTTAATTGAATGTTTTCTAAGTGTTCTTCAAGTATTCCTTGTATATAACAAGCTTAGGAGAGAGTACTTACAATATAGAAGCTTGATTGGGTGATTAAAGTCCAAAAACACTAGTGTGTGTTCTTGGTGTTCTTGGTGAAATGAAGAACACTTGAAAATCAAGCAAAATGGAATGATTTCATGGATGAAATCATGTACAATCACTAGATAAAGAGATGTAACAACAATTCAAGAGAAAGAATTCATACATTTTTGGAAGATCAAAGTGAAGATCTTATGATACTTGAGAGAGAACTTGGATGTTCTTGACTAGAAATGGAAGAAATGAATAAAAAGATGATGTAAACTCATGCAAATAGCATGGGTTTACGGCCTTGACATGAGTTTACGGCCCAAACATGAAGGTTTGGCCGTAAACTCCTTTTAATGGGATTAAAGTTTGATTAAGGCACAATGGACTCAAGCAGATACTTCCTAATACCCGATTCTTGAATACACTAGGCTTAGAACACCCAAACAGACTCTAAACAATGCTAAAAGATAGCAGAAACAAGTCTGACTTTGATTGAATTGACTGGAAGTACAAGATAGAAATTTCGAGTTGTCACATAATCTAACACAATTAACGCTAATCATCAAAAACACCATTAAGCTCTAATTAGCTTAAAATATGGAGTAGATGATTACCTCATGATCATTCCACCATCAATCCAAGCCATAAATACCCTTCATAGCCTCTTGATCTTCATTCTTTCTCCAAATAGCCGAAGTTCAACCTTTGAGGGCTTGGGGTGTTAAATGACAAGATCGAAGAACGTAACATCCATTAACTCTGATGCGACATTGCGGCGCTGTGATCCCTTTACCGTGTCATGGTAGCTAGTTGACTATTAGTCAGTGGAAGTATACATTGCACCACTACGCCATGGCAAGTTATGTACCATGCCGCGATACCTGGAGATCAGCAAAGTGCATTGTTGGTTCCATTCTAGTTTGGGGACAACTCTTCCCCCAAATTCTAACGCGCGTAATTGCTTTGATTCTTACCCGTTTCTCTATTATCTTTATATCCACGAGAAGGTGGGAACATACTCTACAACTATGTTAAGTCATATCTCACTGACTTAATACGGGTCTTAATCTGTTAAATCACAAAGTTTGCCCAAAAGCATAAAATACCAATTTTTACCCTTTTGGCCAAAATGCATCTTCTCATGCATTCTTTTCTCTAAACTTACTCCTCCAACATCTTATAAGTGACCTAAACTTATTTTGTCCATTTTCATGAAGTCACAACTTCATATCCCTATGTTTTTTTTTCATAATTGATCATTTTCTCCTTTTGGTTAATATTTGACTAAAAGTCAAGTTTCTCTAAATTTCAGCTTCTTACAATCTATCCCCCTTAAAGAGATTTCGTCCTCAAAAAAATTTCTTACTCTTTTGATCATTTTCCACTTAATGACCTATTCCTAAGGTTATTCTCTTCTTTAACCTCTTAATCTGAAATAGCAATTTAATTTCTAATTCACTGAATTTTCAATGCAATGACCAAACTTTCTTCATTTATTTAATCTAAATGGTTTTCATGTGACATCTTCTATTATATATACTCTTATGCAACTCCATTGCATACTTAGCACCATCTTTCTTCTTTTTGTTCCATTTTCACAACTATGGGCATAAACATACCATATTTCATTCTTTTTCTCACAAGTGTACTAACACACTTCTTAACCATATACTCTTAGGTAAGTTGCCATTCTCCATGTGCTTCTACATCGCCATTCTCACTCTACAATAGGTGGCTACCCACCAATTTTGTAACTCTTTTCTAACTCTTAGTGAATTATAATATCTAATTTACTTCGCTTTCATTCTGAAGTGTTGTATCTAACTACAACTCTTTTTCTCCATATTCTCTTGAAAGTTTGTGCAAAAAACTTTCACATCTACTTTTTTTCTTTTTCTAATACTCCAAGTCTCAATCTATAGATGGTAAATTCTTCCAAATACCATGCTAGCCTTTCTTGTCCTACTACTCGATCGTCGAGCAGCTTAATGATTTAATTAAACCACAATAAGTTCAATGTGTATGCAAAGCCCATACTTTTACATGTACACCATACTTACATCGATTCAATATTACCATTACATTCCTTGACTCGCGCCAATGGGTATGTTATCAATAGCTATACGAACCCGTAACCACAAACTCCTAGTGACTATCAAATATTGGGGGCACCAAACCCACCCACTGATGTAATTTTCCTTGAGAGTTTCACTATCATCCTTGTGAAGGGCACATGCATACCACAATAATGTGGTGATAAAGGGAATTATGAAGTTTTTCTATGTTGGTTCCTATAGAGGTTCATCATTGATAAATTAGTGAACATAGAGGGTTGCAACAAGATACAAATCAACTCATATCAGAGGCAAGCCACACAAATTGTATGGGGTACACAACAAAATAAGGGTCCATTTGCACAATATATTGTTATTTGCACATATATGAGTTTTTATAGTTATTAGTTTTTGCACTATATTTATTGTTTAATGAAATTATGGAATTATTTGTTTTTCTGTATATTTTCGGTTTTACTTAGAAAATATGAGTTATTTTCACTAATAATTATATAAAGTTAGAAAATAGCATTAAACCATAATTAAACGCATAAAGACATAAAACATATACACAAAATAACCACACTACAAATGACAAACCATTAACTGAAATTAACAAACAAAAACATAAAAATGGCATTCTGGAAGGGATAGTCTGAAATCTACTCTGAAATGCAATGTTCCATATAATATTACCAAAACAAAAGAAAATGATTGTTTTATCGAAAAAGTCATTTATATTGGTTAGATTTTCGATTTTGATGTTTGTATTTGTTAGATTAATCATAAACTCATGGTTAACCTAATATACTCTTCAAGTATTTGATAGTTTGGGACTAGAACATAAGGGGATTGTTTTCTGACGTGACAACCTTCTACCTCGCCACCATGTCAACCATACACCTTCATCACAACCACCAGTGGGGGTGGTCGTGACACACAAAAGAAGAAAGGGGAAGAACGAGAGAGAGTTGAAGAAGAGATAGATAGAAGAAGGGAACGTCAACATGTATGGTTTCAACTACGCCCAATTACGAATGACGATGACACCGACGAGACCATACTTGGGGTGATGTTCACGCCAATAAGGCCGACCATGCCCTTACGACGGCCCAAACCAAGCCCTTACGACGCCCCACTCCGAATAACCTAAGAGATAACTTTAGGGAGGAGCAAAGGAACCGACCCGGCTGCAACCGGCCCGAACCGGACCTGACCCGGGAACCGAAGTCGGCCGAAATTAAGAACCGAACCGGACCGCCGGTTCTACCGGTTCTCGGTTCCTACCGGTTTCTGTCGTGTCTTCAATGTTGGAACCGGTCATCGAGAAATAGCAATATACGGTTCCGATTTTTGCCGGTTCTATCGGTTCCGGTTCCTACCAGTTCCAGGTTCTAAAAATCCACAAGAATATCGTTCTGGTCCCGCCCCGACCGGTAAAATCGGGTTCCGGTTCCGGGCCGGTTCCCCTGTTCAAATGTTGAACCGTAGATAACTATGTTATTATTATTATTATATTATTTATGATTACACGTGTTTAAGTTTTAAGTTCCAATACAAGGGTGGTCTTGCTCTTCAGCCAATAGATTCTTGTTCCAGTGGTTAATACTTTACCACCCACTCCACCCCACCACCCTCACCTTCTCTCTCCTCTTGACTCACCAACTCCTCTTTATAAACCCCACCTCCTCCTTCGCATTCCTTCCAGCCACCGTCTACCGTCCACCGCCATTATCTCCTCTCTCTCTATCTGCCAAGAAATGGAGTCTACAACCACAAGAAGGCCTTATTTTCTTGAAGAAAACAATGGGCTTGCTTCCATCTCCGACATAGAACATGGGGTTCTCATCATCACCGTCGTCGTCGACGGAAGACAACCACCGTGGACAACACCTGATTTCCAGACCTCTGTACTCGCCGAGAAAAGCAAGTCTTAGAAACCTTTCGTCTTTTTCCTCTATTTCTTCTCCAAGATCTGGGAGGTTTTTGCATGGAAGATTTGAGGAACAACAACCTCATTTTTTGGATGCTTGTTTTCTCTGCAAAAAACCACTTGGTCCTAATAGAGATATCTTCATGTACAGGTAATTTGATTCATAATTTATATCAACCTTTTGTTTTGTTTTTTTTTTCTTTAGAATCAAAGATATTTGGATCCAATATCAGATGGGTTTGCTCTGTTTTCTCTTTTATTTTAATTTGGGTTCATGAATTTGTTGAATTAACAAACCATTCTAAAAATTTCATGTTTTTTGCTCTTGATTCCGCTGAAACGACGCACCTTTCTTAAAAAAATCATCAATTTTCCAAAATATCACGTCAATCAAAGAGATTTTGATCATTTCCCAGTTGGGTATTTATTAGATCGACAATTATCATCGATCGAAGAGATATTTGATCATATTTCATACGGGTTTCATCTGTTCTCCATTTCTAATTGGGGGAGCTTTTCGATTATTTCATAAATTTTCATCAATCAGATTTATCAAATCTGGATCGACTCTAAGATGTGTATGCTCTGATTTCCATTCCTAATATTTTTTTCGATGAATTTACAGAGGGGACACACCATTCTGTAGTGAAGAGTGCAGATCAGAGCAGATCGACATCGATGAGTTCAAAGAAAAAAACAAGAATCTTTCTGCTTCAATGAAAGCTTTGAGGAAGAAAGAAAAGAGTGAAACTTCCCCAAACAAATCTTCCAAAAAATACCCTTTTTATTCTGGAGCAGTTGCTGCTGCTTAACCAGTAATTTCTTCCTAAAACGAGGGGTAAAAAGGGAAAATTTTGTCCATTATATAAGTATGTGAGGTGAAAAGAAACAAGATATAATTTTTTTTTTTTTTTGCTTTTTTTACCTTATTTTATTTACCACGCTACTGTTTTTACTGTGGTAAAAATGCTATATAACATAACGAAATGTGAAAAAAGGTCAAAATATGGTAGACTTACCATCTTAACCAAGAAGAAGAATGGTGGTGTATGGAGTATTGCACAACTGCTTAATGCATGAAGTTATTGTACGTGCTTATCTTGTAGTACATCTGAGTATATATATATATATATATATATATCCATAAAAGTACAAGTCCTAATGCAACCCTTTTTGTGGTGTGTCTGGCACTTTCTGTTTATGTTGTGATTTGAAGTATTCTTTTTCTTTCTTTTTCAGGGAAGTGAAGAATTTCGACCTTTTTTTTCTAATTAAATATTAATTTATCAGATTCTAGTTTATATTTTTAACTTTTTACAGAATAAGAATCATGCATATCAACCACAAATATATGGATTTTATACTAAGAATTAAATAATATTTTTGAAAAAAGGTGCAATGTAATTATGAAATTAGAATTAAAAGAAAATAATTTCTTGGTTTGAAACTTCAACATTGTTAAAGTTAAAAAAAGTTAGGCAAAGTTACATAAATGGTCCCTATGGTTCTTTATATTTGTATATTTTGTTCCTAATTATGTTTTTAATTTCCTACTTAGATTGAACTTTGCACCATGTAAGAATGATATTCTTACGTTTTTTTATTATCTTTTATCTTTGACTATATATATATATATATATATATATATATATATATATATATATACACACATTGTTGTAAACGAACACGAATGAGACTTGTTCATATTCGTTCGTTTAAGTTAGCCGAACAAATAAACGAACACGGACGGATAAATAAACAAGTTTTTTTGTTCATGTTCGTTTGTTTAACAAACTGCATTATTCATGTTCGTTCGTTTATGGAATTGGCAAATATGACCTCTCAAGTTTTTGACATATTACATTTATGGAATTGGCACATTTGGTCCCCCAGCCATGATATTTCTCAGAAAAAAAAATTAAAGAAACACCGAAACATGTAAACATGAAAAAAAAAAAATTCCAACCGCCTCGGAGCACGGATCACCTTCTAGCTTCGGTTAAAGAAAATAAATAGATAGAAACCACCAACCCTTACTCTTGCTGGAAAGCGCCTCCCCTACCACCTTCGTCTTCTACCACAAGTGTGCCTCCTTGTTGGAATGTGTAAATAAACACTTTTGCAGTTGATAAACTTACCTTCAAACTCTTAAAACCGAACCCTAGAACATATAGCAAGTCGATATGTAACTAAAAACACACTTGTTGGAATGTGTAAATAAACACTTTTGCAGTTGATAAACTTACCTTCAAACTCCTAAAACCGAACCCTAGAACATATAGCAAGTCGATATGTAACTAAAAACACACTCCGAGTGAGGAATAACCTATAGCAAGTCGATATGGAAAGGGAACTCCCTTATCGAGGGTTTCCGTGCCAACTTTCGCGCACCGACTAATCCCCCGCTGCAAACATGAGGCTTTGCATCATGCCCTGGAGTCACTGCAGACGAATCTCCATGGCCACAATGGCTGAGTGGTGCCAGGATTTGAACATGGGTCAATAGGTTATCCACCATATCTTCCAAATGCCTTACCAAGTCACCACAACCCAAGTGGTTAGAATAACCTAAGTTGATGTAGGCTTTGATTGTTTGGTAGTACGAGTGTTCGTTTGAGTGGACCGGTTTGATCAAATCCTATCAAATGAATCCAAATTGATTTTAGTTTTCAAAACATTGATTCGAATAGTCTAAACTAAATTTAAATCTGATCCGATCCAACCAAACTACAATTCGGTTAAACTGATTATTATAATTCGGTTTTCAAAATATGGAATATTTTAAAACCACATATAACTAAAATATTAGCCAGCTTTATAGAAAAAACAAAAAACAATCTTTTTAGTTGTGGTTTAAAATTTATAAACAACTACTAAAAACGATATTACAGTTTAATATTTTATAAGTAACAACTTTATAGAGAAAATACATATGAAAATATTTTTATTATGTGAAACTTTTCGAATCTATTTGAAAAAATAAATTACAAAATTAAGAAATAATCAAAAATATATATTAAAAATAAATAAATAATAAATTGTTGTTCGGTTTTTTGGACTATTCGGTTCTAGTTTATAAACCAAAACCAATCCAAAATAAGAATTCGGTTTTGTTGAAAACTCATCTAAAAATCCGAATATCCGAACCAAAAAACTCAATCCAGATTGTTCAATTGGACAATTGAATTTTAGACAAATAGTGAACAACCCTACTTGGTAAGCAAACTTTGTTCTCCGACCCATATCAACTGCGAGATGATATATTAATATGCAACCCAAAAATTGGTTTAGAGATCTAGAAATTGGATATCCTTGTAATATCTTCTACATAATTACATCATTGATAATCAATTGATTTATGTATATCCTTTTATTTTCATCCATATAAAAACACCTACAATTCATCATCCATTTCAGTAGGGGCTTGATTCATCTTCTCAAACTCAAAATCACCATGTTGGTGCTTGATTCATTTTCGACATGGGCTTGATGTATCTTCAACAGAGGCTAGAAGATTCATTGAGATTTCTGTATATCCTCGATACTTTCATGACCTAGATCGTCTCTTTTAGTCACCCTCCACCAAATCTAGGGATATTGGCTTCCAAATCAAAATCAACTAGATAAAACTGAAATCAAATCAAAATTCCCATCGAAATCAAAATCAAGATTAAGAACATGAAATTATGATATAGTGAATGTTGCCTTTGGCACTTATGGAGTTCAAGAACGACCTTGTTAGGCGTGTCAAACCCAACAAATAAATGGGTACGATATACTCCAAAAGAATCCCACTATATCGCACCAAAAGGTAGCACAAGGCAAGTAGGGTCGATCCACAGAGACACGGGATAATTAGTCTATACCTCTTTTGCGCAAGGTACTATGGTCACCAACAGTAAATAGGGGGGGAGGGGGGTTAGAATGAAATGATTAAAACAAACGATTAAAAACACAAGTAATCAGCTAAACGAGTGAATTAAATTCAGAATTTGTAAGGACTCCAACTATATGTATGACAACTTAGCAATGCGATTCCAAGATAACATGATATTTGCTCAATTCCATCTAAGTTGGTACTTGGAAGTGTTAACAAGCTCTAACACTTCCCATTCACCACATTAATTAACCAAAACAAGCTCTTTGATTAACCCTAACCTTACTAACCTAATCTAAACAAGCTCTTAGAATTAGATTAAAAGATTACATTAAGCTTTATGTAAATGTTCCCAACAACACCCAATACTCCTCACAAGCTCAGGAGTGTAAAAGTGTGTGAAATGATTTACACTAAATTCATTCAATGGGAATCAATTTAATGCTTGTTACTTAGTCTAATTCACAAAACAATTACGGACTCTGCAAAATGAATAACTTGAATGACCTAACCCTAATTCAAATGGCCAATAAGAATCACAATTAGAATCAAACATTAAATTGAAGCAAAATCAATTTCACTAGATAGAAATTAAAAGCAAACATCAAGTCATATGATTGAAATCACAACCAAGAAGTTAAAACATGAAGTTGGAGAAACTAGGGTTCTAGCCACACATGGCTAGAAAAAATCACAAGTTGTAAAGATAGAAATGATGTGCAATTACAACTTACTATTAAGGGAAATAATGTTTCCAAATGATAACCGATAGGAAAAACTGTCAAAAGGCAGTTTTTGGGTCGAATACGGCCCGTGTCAAAATAGGCTAAACTGACATGGGTCGTGTTCAGCAGCCAACATGGCCCGTGTTGATTTGCACTAAACTGACACGGCCCGTGTTCAACATGGTCAACAACTTCTTCTTAGTCAAACACGCCCCGTGCCCACTTTTCAGTGTAAATCCAACACAACCCGTGTACTCTGACTCCGAATCCAAACTTGATTTTTCCAACTTTTCCGTTCTTCGTCCGATCATCCCGAAATCTTCACCAATGCTTCCCGGCACCTCCCAAAGCGCGTTCTAACCTCCGGTTTACCTGAAAAGAACATGAAAGTGTGCAAATAATGTTGTTCTAGAGACTAACATGAATATGATGAAATGCAATAAAAATGAAGAATAACTATGCTAAATAGATGCATACAAAGGGACTAAAAGGTGTGAAAAAAGGTGCACAAAATGCACCTAACAAATCTCCCCAAGCTTAGACCTTTCTTATCCTCAAGAAAGAACAAGAACCGGACAAACAGGACGATTTCTAGATGGCAAAAAGAAATATAGAACAAACGGGGACAGAAAGATCCTAAAAGCTAATAATGAATGCATGCAATGAAAACTATGAAAAAGAAACATATGTATAAAAGATATTTAAGAAACAAAATGAACCAAAGATTTTTTTTTTTAAGAAGACAAGTAATTTATTTATTTTTTATAAATATATATAAATATGATCAAACTTTACATCAATGAGGCTCCAATCATTAATACCTAGGCGACCATCCTGCTACCTTCCACATATCACAGACTCCCAAAAGTGAGGAAGACCAAGAAATAGTCTAACCCAATAATCCAACCATAGTCTTATTTAAACTTTATACCATAATTAGCTTTATGGGAGAAAATAACATGATCCGAGATCTTATGTCCTTAAGACTAAATGCCCAAGAATCAGAATCGACGCATCCTTAAGAACCCGTCATGGCAAATCAGCTTTCGCTGAAACAGTGAGCCGGCCTGAAGGGGCCCAGCTCCTATGTTTTCACTTTTTCGAGAGCCACAAGTATCATATCACACAGTTCTTCATTCGCCAGATTTGACTTTGAGGTGGCTTTTGATTTTGATTGAACTTGGATTTGTATCTTCATTTTGAGCTTTAGATTCTTCAATCAACTTTTGAATTTCTGATAATTTCTTCGTTTGCGTATTTGAAATTCTGATTTGGGTGCTAGATGTGACAGTTGCACCCGTTCTTCTTTCTTGACTGTGTGGATCTGATACTTAAGCTCTCTGTTACCGCAAGGGTAACGCGTGTCAACAAATAGGTCCGTGTTCTGTGGGTCCAGAGTTGACGATAAAGATTCTTTTTAAACATTCAGAAGCAAATCATCCTAAAGCTGTAATTACCGCCCACAAAATGTTTCAGTATGCAAATTTTTTATTATTTCTAAGGCTGGGGTCTCGAATTACGGTGTTTGGGCCCCCTAGTCATGACAGCTGATTCTACACTTTCGGTAACTATCCGGTCACTTTGGGTATTTTCTTTTTAATTTGATTTCTCGTTTTCCCACTTCATGGAGCTATCGAATGTAAAGTTTGTCTTCATCTCGTATTTTTTTTAAATAATGCATGAAAATGATGGAATGCAAAAACGTGAACTAAAAATATTTTTGGGTTTTGTAAATGCAAAATGCAAGAGAAAAAAAATGAAAATAAGAAGGTTAATTTTTTTTAAATGCATGGATGAACCTATTGTACAACTCTACCCCTCCCCAAGCTTACATATAAGCATCGTCCCCGATGCTTGGAGAAGGCGGAACAACCTATTGAGG